TTCGAGTTGGACCAGATTGGTTATTTGATTACACTTCTTTGTTTAAATCTTTTAATGTGTTTTCAGATGATATTTCAGGTACATGCTCAGGTTCGAGTGCAGTTGTTGGAGATGATGAGGAAGATGTTGTCATTGGCTCATTCAAACCATCTGTGGTGATTCCTGAATCTCCTATGGTGGATGCAGCTACACCAAATACATCGTCTTCTTCACCTGTCCAAAAGTCTATATCTGACACCAAAGCCACTCCCCTACTCCCTTAGAAGCTGAGGTTCTCTCAAGGGAAAATGTATCTTCCACACAAACCGTCATGGAGTTTCTCTTTCCAGAGCCATTCGCAAATGAATTTGTGGCAAGTACTTCTCATGATCACAGATAGTCAGAAGGAGGTGATTCTGCAGCGGACAGATTTGACAACATCACAAATCTTCCAGTCACAATAAATGATATCAGCCATCCTATCCCAACCAGAGTTCAATGTGATCATCCTATCCAGAACATTATTGGTCCACTAGAAAGCGGAGTTCAGACCAGAAGTCAAAGTGGAGATGTCAACGAATGTCTCTATTCGTGCTTTATATTCCAAATTGAACCAAAGAGTGTGGCCATCACATTAAATGAACCAAGCTGGGTAGATGCAACGCATGAAGAGCTAAATCAGTTTGAGAAGTTGAGAGTTCGGCAGTTGGTAGAGCTACCAAAGGTCAAGAAGTCTTTAGACACGCATTGGTTCTTCAGAAATATGCAAGATGATAGTGGGGTTATTGTGTGCAATAAAGCTCGTTTGGTCGTTCACAGATTTAGGCTGATAGAGGGTCTTGACTACACAGAAGTATATGCTCCTGTAGCACGCTTGGAAGCCATTCGTATATTCCTAGCATATGCTTCTTACATGGGATTTACAGTTTATAAAATACATGTCAAGATAGCTTTCTTGTACGGAGTCATGAAGGAGGAGATTTATGTTGATCAACCCCCAGGGTTTGTCAATCCTAAGTTTCCTAATCGAGTTTACAAGCTGGACAAGGCTCTATATGGTTTGCATCAGGCTCATAGAGCTTGGTATGCTACTCTAACTAAACATGTTCTTGAGCACGGAGACACAAGGGGAACGATCGATCAGACATTATTCATCAAGAAAGTTGATGCATATTTAATTGTCGTACAGATCTACATAGACGACATCATCTTTGGGTCGACCAGCACCGAGCTATGCAAAGAGTTCGAGGATGTAATGAAGAAAAGATTTAAGATGAGCTCGCTGGGTGAGATGATAATGTTCCTAGGGTTATAGGTTCGACAGGATTCGACCGGAATTCTATTGCATCAAGGCATATATGTGGAAGACATACTAGAAAAGTTTGGTTTTAAAGATTTAAAAATTGCTTCAATTCAAAATGGCAGAAAGACCACTATTGACTCCAGATCCAGATGGGGAATCCGTAGATCAAACTGAATATCGATCGATGATTGGATCTCTGATGTATCTGACTGCCAGCAGACCTGACATCATGTTTGTCGTCTGTCAATGCGCTCATTATCAGGATACTCCTAAACTATCTCATTTAATTACTGTTAAAAGGATTTTTAGGTACCTTAAAGGTAGCCCTAAACTTGGTCTTTGGTATCCTAAAAATCCCAATTTCGATTTATATGCTTTTGCTGACAACAATTATGGAGGGTGTGATCTTGACATGAAATCTACATCGGGTGGATGTTAGTTTTTAGGGGACCGATTAGTGTCATGGCAATGCAAGAAACAACAAATGGTGTCGACCTCAACGGCTGAGGCTGAATATGTTGCCGCCTCAGCCTGCTGCTCTCAGGTTATCTGGATTCAACACCAATTATTGGATTACGGTTTGAAATTTCTTGACACATCCATTTTTTATGATAATGATGCGGCCATTCAAATTGCTAAAAATCTGGTTCAACATTCCAAAACCAAGCACATTGACATTAAAATTCATTTTATTCGAGACTGTTATGAGCGTAAACTCATTCGTTTTGAACAAATTCACACTGATAACAACGTGGCCGATTTGTTTACCAAACCCTTCAGTAAAGCTCGTTTAGATGTGCTTGTGGGCTTTCTAAAAATGATTCGTTTTGAATATTAAATTTCTATTTTTTATTTATTTATTTTTTTGTGTGTTTAAATTTGCACATTTCTTAATTTAATTTCTTCTCCATGCACAAATTTAGGGGGAGAAATCAAAAATACAAAAACAATTATTAAAAAAATCAAAAATACAAAAATATGTTTTCTTTCGTAAGTATTATTGGGAATTGATATGAAGTTTAGTGATAAAGGGCAATATGAGAGGCGTGTAATGCAGTGAAGTTGAATTGTTTAGAATATGTGTTCAATGTGCTGGTAGGCACGAAGGATTCAAACTTAATGGACTAGACATAGCTGACAATGAACGGACTAGACAATGTTAACTCATCTGGACATAGATAGTTTCATTTGGACTGACCATACGACGTTTGGATAGATTGAGCAATGAGATAAACAAGGGAGCCATACAAGATACATTGAAATTACTTATCATCTAGAATTGTGACTCAATATTTCTTCGGCGTACGGACTTGTGTCCTTAATTCTGGTGCTGATAGGGTGACTGGGGGGTTCTGATAAAGTAGGTCTATGTGAAATTGTTTTTCTTTCTTATCCTCTCTGTCAGTCATATGTTGCCCCCTTTGCGTGATCGGAAGATCCGACCTGCGACGCAACATATGCACCTCTATTTCTATACATCTCTATCTATTCTTTCTCTATCCATCTATGTCAGTCATATGTTGTCCCTTCTGCGTGATCGGCAGATCCGACCTAAGACACAGCATATGCACCTTTCTATCTCTTTAACCATCTATCTATGTTAGTCATATGTTGTCCCTTTGTGTGATTGGAAGAGATCCGACCTGGGATACAACATATGCATCTCTATATCCATCTTCTCTCTCAAATAATTGAGCACTCACCTAAAGTAAAGAGTTCTTTGGAATTCTTGATTACTAGGGTATGTCGTGAAATGGGGAACACGTTCTAGTGCACTTAAAATTGAATTAACCAAAGGCTGACTGTAGATCTCGCTGCTGAATTTAAGTAGACAACAATATCATTGGTCGTCGTCAGTAAAATGGTCTATTTAGGAATATTATTTAGGAATATAATCACAATGTCTTGTCATTTATAATCTGTCCAACTTGTCAATATCATTTGTGTTTAAGTGGACCACAATATTGGTGATTGACCAGAACTATTCATGCAGGTGTGTGCTGATAAACGTTATTAAATTGCTCGACAAATTTTGATCCCAAAATGTTTGATTTTAGTTATTAAAGTGTGTTTGTTTTATTTTCAATTTATCTTTAATTTTATATTTAGCATCTTATGTGTTTTTCATCTTTAAATTATTGAAATTTTAAATTTTATTTTAATTTTATTTTTGTTTGACATTTATTTTATTTTATTTTATTTATTATTTTTTTTAATTTTTTTATTTTATTTCAAATTTAATTTTATTGTGTTGTTTGTCTCCGAAATGAATTATTTAAATAAAGCCCATCAAATTTGGTGGCCTAAAAGGCCGAGAACTCAAATGTTGGGGTATAAAAGATATATTTTTTTGTTTTCTGCTTCATTCTTCAAATCTATAGTTAATTCACCGAAATCAGTTTCCCTCTTCTCTCTCAAAACCCTAGGCTAGAACAGTTCATATTCATCGACGGTTTCAAAATCATCAAATCTCATTTGTTTTCTTGAAATCTTTTCAAGGTATACATAGTTCGAACATCATGCTTTACATTTTATTGTGTTTTGAAGTGTTTGCAGGTGGTTAATGGAGTTTTTCCAGCGTGTTGACGGTGTTTTCCGGCGTAACTGTCAAGTATATTATTCGTCGGGTTTTCTCGGGTTTTCGGTTTGATCCGGATCTGACTGAAAACCACCTTGTTTTGACCGAAAACGTTCCATCTGATCGAAAACAACATGGTTGACCGAAAACGTTTGGTCAAAAGTAATTTGACCGAAATCTCTAACTTGATCAACCGAAAACAACTCTAGACCGACCGAAATCAATTTTTTGGACCAAAATTTGATTTTTGAGAAAATAAATTTTTATTTTTATTTTTATTATTCTCATTTGACTCGTTTGGTGCAGATAAATGGCAAATTAGTTAAAGTTTTTTGAAAATCACAATGTTGTTGGATATCTTATGGATCCACCTGCTGCTCATAAAGAATTCAAATCTATGATCGTGGGTTTGAATAATTGCAGAATCTCTCACGCTTTGCGTTCTAATCCAGTCATCTACAAGGACATGATTGCTGATTTCTGGAAAAATGCCTCAATCAATAATCAGGGAGCGGATGGAGTTGGTTCTATTGAATCAGTGGTGAAGGGAACTCAAGTAGTTATTTCTGAGCAAGTTATTCGAGAAGTACTTGAATTTGGTGATGCCCCTACATTCCCAATTAAGTACCCTGTTAATCAAGTGAAGGAAGTCCTTGAGAAGATGTACTATGAAGGAACCTATCCCTCACCATCAAGAAGTTGCTACCACCTTACTGCAGGTTTCTGGGACACTACTTTGTGAGTTGTATTTCTGGAAGAAAGGGAGGGTCTGATGAGATCAGTCAGACAGCAACCTCATCCATTTTTGCTTTAATAATGAACTGGGATTACAACTTTTCAAAGTACGTTTTTGAAGAAATGAACAGGAATCTCCAAGGGAGGAAGAAGGATTTGTTCGTAATGTATCCCAAGTTTCTTCAAATGATTCTGAATGAAAGATATCCCCAGGTCGAGAGATCTTCTGATACTTTGGACATGAAAGCTTTGGGTCCTAAGACCTTTGGGCTCATGAAGCAATCAAGACAATCTTCCAAAGTCACTTTTCAAGGATTGAAAGAGTTGGTTAAATTTGGAAAATTTGCTGAGACAGAAGGTATCCAAGCTTCTAGTACTCCAATTGCTATAGTGGCTGAAGAACATATGACACCTTCAAGGTCAAATATCAGTAGTTCGGTTGAAGTCACTGATGATGATGATGATGATGATGACAATGATGATGATTATGATGACTCCGATGATAATGATGATGTGAATTTTCGTCTGTTCGTTCCACCGAAGGAGCCAGTCAATGAAGTTGTGATTACTCCAGCTGAGACAGAGTCTGTAATTAATATTTTCAAGCAACCGGATAATCCAACGCCCGAACAGATGGAAACACTTATTAAAGAACTACAGTCAAATGCAAGGAAGCCTCCCCAAGCAGTTCCTGTTACTGTTGAATCTCCATCTGAGAGTGATAAAGACGAACCAAATGCCTCCCAGATGACAAAAAAGCGAAGACGGAGAGATCCAAGGCGGGGAGTGCTTATCACTGAGCCAGTACAACAATCAGCTTCTATAGTTGAACCAGCCCAGATAAATGAAGATGTTCAAAGTCCAATCGTTGAACCAGCCCAGGTTCATGAAGATGTTCAAGGTCCTATCATTGAACCAGCCCAGGTTCATGAAGATGTTCAAAGTCCTATCACTGAACCAGCCCAGACTGATCGAAATGAACAAAGTCCAATTTTTTATTAAGACTTCTTGGTTAATGAAGAAATTTTTGCCTCGGGAAGTCCTTCTGCTCCACCACCTCCAGAGAACGATGTTGCATCTATTAAGCTAGCCAAACTTCGTGCTTTTCAAGACTCTATTCCTCAGTCAAGAGTAAAGGGTATATATATTGGCTCATGAAAAGGAGGCGATGAAGACTCACAACATAATATTTCTGAGCTTAGACAAGAGATACTAATTTTGAAGCAGGAATCCATTGAAAAGGATCTATTGATCGGGAAGTTGGATGTGATAGTTTCGGAGCTAGAAAAGGAAAATTCTCAAAAGAATAAAGATATCACAGAGATCCAAGCTAATCTTGGTGGACTGACAGCTTTCTACTTTGATCTCAAAGACAAACTAATTGGAAAGTTTGGTGATGATTTCAAGTTGTCCAGTTCTGATGGTGGAAAAGCACCTGAGACATCTGAAGGGGTGGTGGTTAGACCTGCTCCGGATTCCAACATTGATCAATATTTATCTTCTGGCCCTGCTACAGCTGAAGAGAGAAGGGAGAAATAGAAGAAAGTAAGTGTGTTGAAGAAAAATAAAATGCTTCTAATGAAGAAATTTGATCAGAATGCAACTGGTGATCAACCTCAGATGTTCATCAAAGAAGTTGGGAAAAGAAAATTTGTTGATAGATACGGAGATCGTTCAGGTATTCGCATGTGGGGATTTGAAGCTGACAAGAATATGTGGGTTGTAAAAAGGAGGAGCAGAAACATTGAATACTATGAGAAGAAGGTTGATTTTCTGTGTTGACAAAAGTTGATCTTGCAGAGCTAGTCCATGCTCCATTTCACAATCCTACAAATGATCCCAATGCTTGGGTGTTTAAAAAATTTCTAGAAGACAAATCGAGGCATAACTTTGCTGGCGTTTCGACAGCGTCCTCATTTGTTAGAAACGTCAAGGGTGTCATAGATCCGCACACCAACAAAACCATGGTAAACGTTATGTGGCCGCCTACAAAGAAAACGAAAAATATTCCTTTCTCTCATCCTATACCTGATGGTTATTTGATTTCTCTTCAATTATGGGTATATGATGAGGCAACAACAACCGTGGTGATCAAGACTGAAAAGGATCAGTTTCGTCTTGTTCATCCTACGGATTTGATGAGACTTGGCAAGCATGACATTCACACTTTATCCAAGATTTAGCTTATGGTGCAAAATGAAATGTTCGAGGCTGCTGCGAAAGACTTTACAGGCATGATTGCGAAGATTATTGATCAGAAGTTGTGGGCAGGAGCTTTAGCTTCATCCGACGTTCATCTTGTAGAGAATACATAAAGCTAGCTAGTAATAAACCAAAAGGGAGATTGTTGGGTCATATTTCTATGGTTTATGTTGAGCTTATATTGTTAACTGTTCTTGGGCTTAGAATAGTACTTTATTGATAGGCTTATTATATTTTCGGTTGTAAGGACCGAAATCACTATGGTGATTTCGGTCATGATGAGCTTGGGCCTTTTATAGTGTTGTACTTGGCATATATATATATATATATATATATATATATATATATATATATATATATATATATATATATATATATATATATATATATATATATATATATATATAGCTGATCTCCTTCCTGAGAGCTATGCAATCCTCTGTGATGTGACCAAAGTCTTCATGGTATGCACACCATTTGGACTTGTCTTTCCAAGCGGTGGATTTTTCTCCTTTTCTTGGCCATCTTGCTTTGTCTCCAAGATCTTGCATAGCAAATATTACACCTGAAATATCCACGGAAAAACAATAGTTAGTAATTTTAGGAAAATCTTCTTCCTCTCCCTCATTTTCAAGGGCATTAACCCTATGATGGTCAGGTTTGGAATATGGATTTGACTTATAGAATCTTTGGGCAGAGGAGTCGGACTTTCTATTGGGGTGATCGTAAGAGCTTGGTGGGCTGTTCCTCTTTGGATCTCCTTGTCTTCTTCGAGCCTTATGAACCTTAGTGCTCTTCTTATAACTTTTTCCATCCTCTTGCATGGAGTCATTACGAGGTCTTCATATAAAGGAGAATCCTTCTTTAAGCCCATTTTAAAGGCTTCAACTGCAGTCGCCATGTCGATGTTGGGGATACTTAGAGCTTCCCTGTCAAACCTGTTAACAAAAGTCCTAAGGGATTCCTTAGGATCCTAGACCACTCGATAGAGATCACTAGTGATCTTTTCTAAGGTTCTGCTATAAGAAAACTGATTGTTAAACAAATTAATTAAATGAGCAATCCATGTAATAGAGTAAGGATGAACGTTAAGAAACCATTTTAAAGCTGATCCTGTGAGGGTTGAGCCAAAACCCTTTCATAGGCAAGCTTATTTGAAGTGAGTGGGGAGGGGAATGATCTCCATCCTTTCCCTGTATTGTGCCACGTGCTCCTCCGGATATGTAGTCCCGTCATAAGGCTTCATGTTGGGGGTTTGGAAGCGCTTTGGGACTTCGGTATCAGCTATTGTCGAATCTTAAGATCATGTGGCTTATGGGGGATACTTCTGGTATAGGTTGAACCACTTCAAGAACGCTCAAGATCATTTGTCTTAGTTGATGTAGCTCCTTAGCCATAAGGATCTGTAGTCCCGTCATAAGGATTCATGTTGGGGGTTTGGAAGCGCTTTGTGACTTCGGTATCAGCTATTGTTGGAACAAATCTTAATATCATGTGGCTTATGGGGGATACTTCTGGTATAGGTTGAACCACTTCAGGCACACTCGAGATCATTTGTCTTAGTTGATGGAGCTCCTTAGCCATGATCGGGCTTAAACATGTATCAAGATATATTGAGTTAGTGGTAAAGATATTATTATTGAAAGGGTTACCAGGATCCTTGTTGTTAGGAGTAACAAATATTTCGTTGGGATCATGGGTCATATGGGCTTGTTCTCTCAGAGTCGCACCCCAGGAGGGAGAAAAGGCCGGTATTGAGGCTCCTATCTCGTGGCGAATCGCTGGGATCCCGTGTTGTCAAAGTTCAGGATCTTGGGCTGCAAGATCGAGGGTGCTACTTCCTGAGGCTTGTGGATTTTTGTCCTCATTCTCTCCACCTCCTTGAGAATTGTCCTGTTATCCTCCTGCTGTTGGGCGACTTGTCGTTCTAGTCTCTTCATCATAGCGAAGATTTCATTTTTGGAAATCAACACAGGAGGATCCTAGAGTCCTGGGGTAACCACCGCAGAGATATTTTTCTTTAGTGCCTGAGGCTTTCTTGGGAGCTCTAGTTGGAGGAGGTGGAAGGTTTTTGGAGGAAATTGGAGGAATTGAGGAAGAGGACAGGGTCGATTGTGTAGACATGATTTTTTTGAGGGATTTTGAAAACCACGGCGCCACGGTGGGCGCCAAATTGTTTTGGTCAAAAAATGAACAAGAAAGACTCAACCAAATTGTATGAGAGGCTATGATGTTCAGAATAAAGTAAGCATAAAATGATAATCAAAGTGGCACAAGTGGTTTACGAGGAAAGCCCTTGATCCTTGCTAGGATCTCCGACACAAAACCTTAGGAGGTGATAATGATCACCTACCTTGATGATTTTATTGATTAAAAATGTCGATTATAGAGATGAATGTGTGACAAGAAAGTACAAGTATCATAGATGAGTTAATCGGCTGTGTTGTGTGTGTAATACAAGAGTTATTTATAATCTAAAGCAAATAACAAAATGTCCAAAAATTCTGGGATCCTCCGAGATCAGCTTATAGACGTTATTTGACTTGGTACTCCGGGTCTTATGCATGGTCAAGATGATTATTCGTCGAGAACAAGTCTGTAGCTGACTATTTATGCACATGTGAGAAAAATAAAGAAGCACATAACCGTTATATATGTCAGAAAAATAAATGATAACAATCAGGATCCTGAAGTATGTTTAAGGATCCTGAGGTTTTAGGATCCTAATATATTTTTGGGATCCTGGCCCTAACACTAAGGTCACTGTTGAGGCAAAACTCTTCTTTTTCTTCTTCCTTTTTTAGGGTCAATCTAGAGTTTGTGAATCTCCTAAATAGGAAAATCATAGAATTTATTATGTTCTCTGGAATGTTTTATGTCTATTTCTATAAATTACTTCTTAAACTCCATGAAGACTCTCACCTATAGGGTTTGTTTTGGAGTTCTAGGGATTTTGAAGCTTGAAGCTCCATGTATGGGAGAATCATGGATATTATGATGATTAAGTTTAAATGATTATACTAACCTCATTCTAGTTATCTAAAAACAAATCTCAAGTTTAATCATCAATGATCTTCATGAATTTCACTATTTCGATCCATATTTGTTTATGCATTGATCTAGGGATTTAATGGCAATCCAAGAGATTTTGGAAGTAAATTTTATGATGATTTCCTACGCAATGGAAACTATCATCCATTGAATCAGCACATAATGTAAATGTTGGCTAATTGATGATTGATTATATTTGAAATAAAATTTGAAGAAAATAGAATTGAGATTGTACCAATTCAAGATTTTTCAATTCTAACTCATGAACTAAATAGAATTGAGCAATCCTGTAATGTCCCAAAAATACTGAGTAAAATTTTCATTTTAAATAAATCAAAACCATTCATTTATTATCCCAAAACACGATCAGAGTAAAAGTATTCTCAAACGATCAGAGTAAAATCATAAACAATCATTGCAGAATAAATCTCCAGGGGATACAGTGCGATCAAGTCGGACTCTTCCTTTTGAGACTGGAAGTACCTGAAAATGTTTAAACCACAAAATCGTAAGCATAAAGCTTATTGAGTTTCCCCCAAAACACCACATACCATACTAATCATTGGGCCCAGCTTTGAGGTATATTCCAACCGAACATACATCAATGGGCTCAACCCTCGGTTATATTTCATCCCAAACATACAATAATGGGCCCCTGAGGTTTATTTCAACCCAAACATACAATAATAGGCCCAGTCTTAGGATGTATTTCAACCCAATCATGCAATAATGGGCCCGGCTCTAGGGCATATCTCAACCCGAACAAACCTGCAAGAGTCACAAAGACAGCTATCATTCTACATAACACAATCTAGTGGGCCGACATTGGTGCCTTCGACCCACAAGTATAGTGTGAAGACTCACCTAATCTACTCAACAGAATCTCAACAGCTTCCACATCAACATAAAAGCCAATCCAAGCTTCTTAAAACCAAACCGAAACTAGTCCTTAGTTAAATACTCCATTCTACCCAAGTTTGACCAAAAGTCAAAATGGTCAAAAGTCAACAGTTAAGTCAACTCAGATGACTCCCACGTCGTAGAAATTCCTTTGCCACAACGTGTTCATGTCCAAACAAAATAGATGTGATAATTCTCGCCACCATATCGTAGCCCTCCTTGGGTACGCCGTGGTCTTCAGTCTGAAAAGCTTTTCTTCAATAAGAGCTTAAACCATAAGGACCAAAGCTAAAATCATCATATTCGATTCCTAATAGCTTCATAATGGATAAATTTTCCAACTTTATCCATCAGAAAAGTCCAAACCATCAAGATCTAGACTTTAA